TACCCCTTCACCTCTATTAGCTCTTATTATATCTGCAGCCACCTTGCCCCTTTCAGCAGGCTTCCTTGAATCAAGCCAATTTGTAACCTTGTCTGCAGCTACCTTCTGGTTGGCTTATAATAGCCAGGAAATGTCTTATATGAGGGTGGGCACTTGGTGCGAAGAAGGAAAATGACTCATTATTTGCATGCTGGGCACTGAAGGCAGTGGGGGGTGATTAGAACACATTTCAGGAGAGGCTTTAGCTGGCATGTAGGGGATTTTCTAATGATATCTCAACCATAAAAATGTGTTAATTTCCTACTTCGCTCTAGATACCATTTTATTGTAAACAGCATTCTGTGTTGACATGGAAACTTTTTTTTTTTTCCCTTTTTGGTGTAGGTGTGCATCAAAATCATCATCTCTCACCTCACTTTCAAGGAAAAATGTTTTCAGAAGATGTGAGTCCATTTCTATCCTCTGATTAACTAAGAACCATGTCCTCTCCCTCTGGCAACTATAATGTGGAATTTCTCATGAGGATTCAGAAGAAAATGCAGGATTTGAGTATGGATGGAAAGCAGATTTGAAACCATGTAAACCACCAAACTAGCCAATGCTATTGTGAGGCCTGGAGACCAGAACAGAACATTACTCTCAAAATGGTCTTTGGCATACCCATAGCTGAGGAGGAGAACAGGCTTCTGCCTGCTTCTGATATTTGTAATATGTGTGTTTGTGTTTGATATGTGGATCATTATAGCCTTGTTGTGAATGTGGACTGCAATGGAAGCAAATCAATACATCATAATCTACATGTTAGTCTCTATAAAATTAAAAGTGAGATTAATTTTCAGATTTCAGTGCCAGAAAAACTTTGCTTTCTATAAAAAGCAATGCTCCCTTATTTTTTATGGTTAACTGTATGTCTCTTTTTGCTTTGGTTACCAGGTAGCACACAACTAATTTTGAAGCTTTATTAGACCATTTTTACCCTTCTTATAAGCCTCTTTTTGTATTCTCCTACTGGTAATAGATTAACTGCTTTTGTTTCTTTTTTTCCTTACTCCCTTGATCTATTTTGACATTATTTTTATTGTATATGTTTATGTAAGCTATTTCAAATCCCTTGTGGAAAGAGGAAGGTATAGGCCAATAAATAAATATTTCTATAAACTTTAAATCCTATGTCAACTAGAAATGCTTTTTATTTATCATATGAAGTCTCTTTTGGATTCTCTGGTGATTAAGCCCCTTATATTTTGGAAGAGATTTCATAAAAGTTGGCTAGATATTGTTGCTGCATTTTCAGTGTTAGTGAATCCATTCTGTTTTTTTTCATCATTTATATTCCTGCCTGTTCCACTATACCTACAGAACAGAGTTGTCTACAACAACTCTAAATGCCATAACCAGGTTTAAGAAGTCATTTCATCTCTATGCAAACCAAACTTAGCATCTATATGTGGCGATCTTCCTTTAGATAAGGCCTCATAGTCAGTAAGTGGGAATCATTTTTACCCAGGAAAGCAAGTCAACGCTACAGACTTCTACAGCCTCAAACCACTTCTTGGATGTTAAGTTAAATATACATATATATTTATAGTGTGTGTGTGTATATATATATATATACACATATACACACTATAGATATGAGTGGTCTTCAAAAAATTCATGGAAAGATGAAATTAAAAGATACGAGTCTTTCCATGAATTTTTTGAAGACCCCTCATATCTAATATACATACATATTTATTTCTGGCAAAGTCAAAAGGGCTGCTGAGAAACTTTAGGTATCATCATCGTTCACTTCATTCCCATCACCACAACAATATGGGTATACTTTAAAGAGAATGACTGGCAGGCACATGCCTTAGACCCCATGAGCTGTTACACTAAATGGAGTATAAATGATTAAGTTCACTCTGGCTGTCTCTATACCCCTGCTATACGACAGAGCTCGGTAGAAGTTTCCCTACTCAATTTTCTCATAAGCCAAAAAGGAATCCTAATACTCTCCTGAGCATAAGCCATTTTAAAGCCACCATATCTATTTATATGTTGCAAGAAAATATAATTGAGGAAGGAATCTCACAAAAGTTAAAAATGCAGACATAGCTATGCTCTGACCAACAAACTGACATGTTCACAGTATTCCTCAATGATTTCACTGGATAAGTCTTTGATGATAAAGTTACATGCTGTCTTTATTTGACAAAACTATTTAAAAAGAAAAAGAGGGACCATAACTTTATAAACTTCATATCACTGTCTAGAATTTGATGGAATAACCACTTAGCCAAAGTTGTAAAACACAAGCAAAGCATTTGGTTTGAATTTAATTAAGGGCATGTGTGTGTGTGCACACATGTGTGTGTATTTGTAAAAAAGCAAATGCTTAATAGAATAACTTAAAATATATTTACTTTGTATATCAACCTTGACTACACCACAGTCCCCACAACTGAAAAAGGACATTGAAGAAAGTTGGGAAGGGCTATGTCTCAGAGACCTCAATTTCCCTGTTAAAACTTAGAACCTTAACTGGGTTGGAAACTCTTTTCCAAAGTTTTTGCACAGATTTTTTTCCTTCATGCTTTGGGCATTTAAAAATATACTATTCTGTTACATTATTATGATGGTAACTCAGAACTATTCTTAAACTTTAGTTTTGAACTCTAAGTATATAAGATGGTATATGCAAAAATCACTTTGTACTCATTCACCCTTCATCATTTCAGTTGTGTAATGCTGCTAAATGAAGACCTCTGTCTCATATCTCATAGCCTCTCCCTGTACGTTTGACCATTTCTGCCAACTGAGAACTCATCTACCACAGGAGAAGGCAGCAGCACATCATGGCAGAGTCTGCCTCCTGGGCAAGTCAAAATGTAGACTATTGGTACACACTTTAAAACCCATCACATATAAAGGCAGCAACTAACTGCACAGAAGTTGCCAGATACTGTGCCACGTCTACATACCTGCTTTATTTTGCAGAAACACCAATTATTTGTTGCAGATTTTAGAAAAAGATTGACTTAATGCTGCAGTACAGACACAGCAAAATAGACTGCTTTTAAGGAGAAACCAGCACAGGGTTAAAGCCAAATTTTTCTTGAACAGATGATATTTCAGATGGCCACACTATTCCAGATGCATCAATTTCCTTGAAAATCCAATCCATATATGTGCATATGCTGTGCTGGCAGGAGGACTGACTGAAATGGCCAAAACCCAAGAGCTAATATTCTTTTGGCCAGAATAATGCAATTATTATTTTCCTAGCTATCAGTCTAAGCATACAGAGCCATCTGTTATGCAAAGCAAACATACACATCTCAATTACAGAAAATGCAGTTGCCTTGACAGAATTTGGATTACACCACTAACCAGGGCTGTAAAATGTGTTTTGAGCTAGTATATAATGGATGCTTTTCAGGAGTTCCCTAATTAGCATTTACCTGCTTAAACTAATTATTCATCCTTCTTCTTTACTGGCTTATTAAACTTTGTTGGTTACTCTACATAAAACAGATGAATATGGGCACTGCAGAACAACAAACAGTGGCATTTCCAATTCTATACAGTATTAACACAGTGGTGCATCGATTTCAAAATTGGAGATTTTCAATACTAGGTCCCAAACAGATTGAGACAAGGCTTAAAGTCTATTAAAGGCTATTACAAAACCAGAGATTTCTATGAGATACAAGAATACTAACATTGAGTTAACACTTTCTATCATTTGGTTTGCTAGAGTCCACATAAAATAGAATGACTCTATACACTAAAGCCAATAGCTTGCTTGTTCTTCAAGGAAGTGTCTGCAAATCAGACCCTTATTTGGATTCTCAATAGTAAATAGTCAAATTTGTCAGTGTTTCTCCTCCTCCTCCAACCCTTTCCAAATGCCAAATATCTCTATTATTTCTCAATGTCTTCCTTGATTTAGCTATTACCCAGCAGACTCAGTAACAGCCAAAATGTGCCAACCACACTGGCTGTCTCCTTAGAGCTGGGCCGATGTTCGTAAGTGATGAGTGGGAGATCCTGTTTAAGAGGAGATAGACAAATCTTATCTCCATCTTTGCTCCAAGGGGCCACTGAATGAGAGGTAGATTATCCAACATGGCATATCATCACACACAAAATCCCTCCCACTGAGGCTGTGCTTCCTCATGCCAAACCACCAGATGAAAGGAGTCAAACTCAGCCAATCACCTGTATGGGCACAGATATTCAGATGTTCAGCATTTTTATGGAGAAAACATCTGGATAATTAGCTGAATTGCAAACTTTTCTTCAGGATCTTTTGGCACTCAGTAGATACAGCCCATGTCCTGGGATCCAATGGAACTAAATTTTTTGTGTTCCAGGGGAATATCAAGAACTGACATCCGGGATTTTGTCCCTGGACCCATCAGCCTCCACCTTCTTTTCTTTTCCCCCCTGTCAAACATGTGTGAGTAATTAATAAAATAATGAAAGGCTATCTTGTGAAATCATCTTTTGGTATTAGGAAGCACTTGCCAAGGTAGTAAAATATATCCTTGCTGGAACCCTCTCTGCAACACATTTTAATGGTCTCTTTCAGTATTTCTTGACTCCAAATGACTCCTGCCATTGTGTCAGCTCCCAGGATAATGCAGGGTACTCCATAAACATCCAGTAATAGGACACAAGGGAAGCACTATTAGTGTGTCCCTCTCCTACCGGGCACAGAGGTTTCAAAGTTCAAAACAACGAAGGGAAGAACTTCATTTGTTCTCAATAAATTAATAATGATCCTTAGGGGCAGGGAGGGGGACTAAAGTTTTTAAGCCCAAGTTTATTACAAACGTTCCACACTGACACACAGGTTTCTTTCTCACTGACTTTGAGAGAAGACTTGGGTAGAGCCATTAAATAAAAAATTGGATAATTCATGCTAAACAGAATATGCCTTGAAGAAGGAAAAGCATGAGGCTGAAGGAGTCTTCACAGTTGCCACCGAGAATCTAAATTGTTTTACTTACTTGGGAGAGGCCTAGGTAGATGGAGACTGTTTCGGAAATGTACAAAAATTTTCCTTCTTGATTTAGTGCAAATACAAAGCCATCCAGAGACTGTGGGAAAAAATAAACATATAAGTAGGTTAATAAATATATATAATGGAGATTTAATTAAGAAGGTGACTGATGCAAAGTAATACATTGAATTTAAGACCATGTTTTCTTCACTTTTAACAAGAGTCCTAAGATCATCTAATATTGCATTATACATGAATAAATTGAAGCCCTGAATTAAGACTACACGCTTTCCTTTATTTCAGGGACTTCCTTATGTTTTTGTCATTTTGATCAAGATATGTTACATTCATGTATAAAATAAAGTCATGCTGATTTTATGAGATGCTGCCTTCATTTCTTTGGATTCAGTGGTTACTGTGATTAAATCAGCAAGATTCTCCATTAAATAGATGAACAGGAATGGAAATTGTAATGAAACAAAAGGAAAAAGGGTTCCTATATGAAGACAAAGTCACCACTTGAACTAGTACGGACATCAATAACTTGCTAATTAATAAAGGACTGTGCCTTCCTTACTCCCAGTGCCTATTGTATTAGAACAAATAGAAAAAGTCAATACATTATGGTTGAATGTTTATGGGCTGAAATCTTACAAATTGTAATACTGTTTTGTAAAACGATATTAAAGTTTTATAGTGACAGATTTAGTTTCTATCATCACTTTTGAAATGGAAACAACAGAAGAAAGAAAGAAAACAGGATGCTACATATCATCTGTAACTCCTGGAACCTCAGCCTACTCTCCAAATGGAGGGTTGCATTTTCAGTTTGATAAATGGTGTAAATCATCACGGACTCCAAATGTAATATAACACTCCAATTGAGAATAAATTTGTTTCAAATCCTTGCAATCCGAGTGCATTTTATATCCTCATCATCCTCACGTCTTTTGTTTTGCTTTATTTTTAAGAAGGTAGATTACACAAATGCTGCTTGCACAGGAAAATAAGTTTTAAAGAATAGTGGCATTAACAGAGGCTATAAATGTGCAAATCCAGGAAACCCACAATGGGCACAACGTATGTGGAAACACTAAATAAATGACATAATATTTAAAATATAGAAAAGTAGAAGTGTATAAAATTCAGCTACAAATATGTACCCCCTGAAATCCCAGCAATAATTTCAGTCTCCTAAAATACTGATTTTGGGGGGGGGGAAATATGTATGTATATACAAATTATATGTATTTATGTATATAGGTATATATGTATATGCACATATATGTTTATATCTATTTATATGTATAAGTGAAATTTTGATTTCCGTGTTTCCTGATTTGTTTTCACTGCCCCACCCCCACCTCCATTGGTCAGAAACTGTGGGTGGCACCCACCCCCTCCTCTGATTTAGTGGGTTCTGAAAACCAGTCAAAAGTAACACTATATTGTTCCACAAAAGGGCGAATTACATGATAGATAAGGTTTTTAGTTAAGATAGCTCAATAATAACAACTTACGTTTATTAAGTGATATGGCTAAGCAGTTCACAGGTATTGTCTTTTAATATTTTCCCAAGTACCATATGAAGTAATTATATTATTATTCACATTTTATGTACAAGGAAATTTAGGCTTAGCAAAGTAAAGCAACAAGCCTAGTTTGGAGTTTGGACTTGAACCCTGACAGTCAGGTTCAACTATACTGCCTTCCACTCAAATAAAGATTATCTAATTGATATGTGTAAATTAATGAAAAGATAAATACTTACAGCCCTTCTGAAGTTAAAATATCTATATTGAGGTAGCCTATGACTTCTTAAACATCACTTGTTTTTAAATGATTTGTTCAAATGATAGAATACTATCACTAGGGGTAAGAGGCAAAGGGGAAATGGGATGGCAAGAGAGTTCCTAAGTCACTTCCATAAGAGGTCACCTGGTCACCTTTGCTTGGTACTATTTCCCCTGGAACCTTCTATGGGGAACAAAATACTGTCTAATAAACTGGGCTCCTTACCTTTGACAAAACTGCCAAACCCTCTGGAGCCTTGTCAGATATAACCTTTCAAGTGTAGAGTGTAGTATAGTGGAAACTCACTTTGAACCAGCAAAGGGAGAGAAGTTTCCATTCTACAAGTTTGTGAAGGATCTCATTTCAGCATGGCTTTACCTCAAACAAGATGTCCCCTGAGGATGACTCATGAGGATTAGGACCCTTTCCCTTTTGACTTGCCTCTTGGAGAAAAGGGATTTGTTAGATTTTCCATTCAACCTAATAGTCATGGCCTGGTAGACAATCACAGAGAACTGTGTAAAACATCTTCTCATATCTTAATATGCCACTCTCACATTAGAGTGACAACACAGAGAGAGATCACAGGTGAACTTCTATGGAGATCAGTGACAATTAGAAGGCTGGTTGGGAACAGAAGAAAGGGCTCATGGAGCTGGCATAGAGATAATCTCCTGTAGTCTAAATCCTCATTTCACAGGTGAGGAAACTGAGGCACAGAGGGACTAATGGCTGGACAAGATCAGACAGCCAGCTAGTGGCAGAGCCAGGATTAAATCTTCTGTACGCCCATAACAGTATTAAAGCATTTATGACATTGTGTGGTCCTGGTTGGCTTATTAACTCCCAACTAGACTGAATCTCTCAACAGTGGTGTGATGTCTTATTTATCTTTGTCTAGCCACTACCTAATGACTGCTCAATCAGACTCATTAAATCCAGTTCTACCTCCAAGCCCAATGATCCCTTTCCCTTATATCACACATGCCATAGTTACTAACAGGGATGGAAATTATTTTCTCAAAGAGTCCTGTTTATGGAGCTATTATATTATTTGTAAATTTAGATGCCACAGATTTCTAATAGGGCCTGGGATACCTCCTGAATTCTTTTATAGTCCTCCAGAGCTACTCCTGAATAAATGTGTTATTTATCATTTACACATATCCTTTACCTTCTCATTATCAGATATCATATACTTACTAAAATATTAGAGAAAGTTTGGGCACCATAGCAGGGAAAAGGAATATCTGGAGGCTAAACATCTGATGCTATTAAGCAGCGGCGATCTAAGAACTGGCCGGCTTTGTTTGGCAAAAACAGAGGCTTTGACACATGTTCCAATTTCCTGGTGAGATTAAAATGAGTCTATGTCTACATGACACAAAGACATCCAGTCAATTCAATTAAAAATAGCCAATTTGGTAGGAGGAAAAACAACTAGTCAGATTAGTTGTTAGTTATTACACAAGTTTAAAAAATGGTTAATTAACCACATTTTTCACTTTTATGCTTATCATTTTGGTCAATTACATCTATAGTCTGAGATGAACATCCATAAGTCAGGCTGGATTACCTTTCAAATAAAGAACGGGATATGAAATCGGGCCTGAAGTGCATGGCAAGGTCACTCTTCACATAGGCTTTACCTGCTGATTCAGAGTCGTCCCTGTTTACAGTTAGCTGAATTTTGCTGCTTAGGAAAGTTTGAAGAGTAGCATCAATGTTGGTTCAAATTGGGTGTCTCAATTTAAAAAGGTGGGAGGAGGAAAGAAACATTCAATCAGTGAGTCTTGGGAACCAAATGTGATTAATCTGAAAGTTCCATGGAATTTTTGAAAATTTTGAATCATGAAAGCTATTATATACTGTGCTGTTCAATCACTGCAGGCTACTTAAAAAAAAAATTTTTTTTTAACTGCCCACTGTTTTCAACAGGCACCAATTAAGATTCTGGGGTCAAAGGGTTAATTACATCTCCTTACCCACGATGTAGAGTTTTCTGATTATTAACTAAGGTTGGATTAAGATGAAAAAGAATCTACACAAATGTTAATGCTAGTCCCTCCTCGAAAAGATTTATTTTAAAGCCATGCTGAAATCTATCTGCTTTCCTCAAAGCAGATGGAGAACAAAATCTTAGAAGAAACAGTAAAACAGATATTTTAAAGACATGCAAGTATCTGATTTATCAAGACAGTTTTCTTATTACTGAAAACAGTTCTTTGCCATCCAGACAGGGCTGATAGGAGATTTCCTTTGTCACATCCCAGTAAGTCTATGAGGTACACACGCAAGGAGTGCAGCTTGGAAAGAGAAGTCAGGAGCTACTGCATCTCTGAATAATAATGCCTGTAATTACAGTTTATATCCCTTGACATCAGTATAACATATAAAGTGTAAGGCACAGTTTCTTAACCCCAAAAGCTGAATGCCTCTAATGATATTTGTCAAATGATGAGGTTATTTCCTTGCAGGGTATGAAACTAACTATAGCTTCATGATTGAAGGTGCACTAATGTTTAATGCATTGTGCTAAATGGATTTATATTTGTCAAAGGAGTTTTGTCTCTCCTTTCCTTTTTATGCATATTACACCGCAGCCAAATTTCACAGAGAGAAATCTTACTATAGTGCCCTTATAGGGACAATTCCTGAGTATACAACCACTCTGAAATTAGTGGTTCTTTCTTCTACATTCCAGTGCTAAAGGGGAAAAAAATCATCCCAAACTCTTTTCCTATGACCTAACTCTAGTTAGAGAGAAGAATTACCAGTAGGCTAGGTTATTTTAATGACAGATTATTTTAAACTAAGTCTTTACCATCTGTTCCACCCCTAATTATGAATGCAAAAAGAACATATTTCACAATTACATCAGTAAAAAAGTAAGCTATACATGATTTAAATGCATGCATGTGTTCCTTGTCCAATGTGCCATGCATCTGTGATGTTGTTCTAATTCAGGCTCAGACTGCAGAGGAAATACCCATCTGTGATAGAGTACCGTCTCTGAACCCAGAGTTCTTCAACTATTATGACATAATTCTTTTAGGACAAAAGCAGAGCCTGAATTTGAGCACTATGCTTATCAGGCATTAGAGACGAGTATTTATAACTGCTAAAATGGCTTCACTGTTAATAAGAGAGGCTCTGTGAGAAAATTGCCTCTGTTACCTGAGCAATGGAGTAGCATCAGGATTAAGTGGGTCTGCCCTTGAACCATGTAAGAAGCCTGGGTTGGGCCAGCTCCGTGGCTCACTCGGGGAGTGCGGCGCTAGTAGTGCCGAGGCCAAGGCCGCG